ACCTATACACAAGCAAAACGGTCATTGTTGTTGATGGCTGACATCGTGTGTACATACGGCGGATTGCTTCCCTATTGGACACCAGGATTAACCTGTTTGGCAAAATAGGGAACAGTAATAGTGTGATATAGCACAGATATAAGATCCAATAAGAGCCTCGACTGTAGTTTTAGGGCACCTTTCAAGCATTCAATGTCACCTTAAAATAAAAAATAGAAATATGAGTGGCATTTACAATATAAGGACGTGCGGAGCCATATAGTCGAAGATACACTTCTCGCGCGAGGGCGACGCAACTGCAGAGCACAATACGCACAGCTACAGAATCGCGCGCGCACGGGCGTGAGCCACGGACGATTCCAAAAAACCCCGGGCATATTGAGAAAAAAAAACGCTGAGTTTGTTTTGGCCGGTGTTCGGGTCTGTCCCGGAAACTTCTCAAGATGTTGCAGTCCGGGAAGAGGAGAGAGAAGCCAGGAGGGCACACAATATATATACACGATACGATACGATATTACTTTATTTGTCAGATCAAGTCTGAAATTTGACTTGCGTCACAGCAGCTCCATGTCCAACATCAACAGACAAGTATACAGACACAATACATGAAACACAAACAACAAACATTTAACATAACAGCACAATCTGTGAGAGAAAAGCTGCTCAAAGAGCCTTCAGCGTGAATTTGATCTGGGATTTAGCTCTGTATTTACTGTGAGGATTGACTGATGCACAAAGGAGTGCTTCAGTCTGACTTTATTGAATCGTGGGACCCTGTATCTCCGATTAGATGGTAGCAGTTCATATTCACTGTTCAGAACATGGTTTGGGTCAGAGATGATGTTGGACAGCCTCACTAGGCTGAGTCATCATAGTCTCTGACAAGGTTGACCAACAATCTTTGAGCGGATTTTTAACAGGTGGAGCAGTTTTGATTTTAAAGCTGCTGACAAACATTTGTACCAAGTAGTATTGCAGTACTGCAGAATGGACATGATCACAGATGTAAAGAACAACAGAAGAATGTCTCTGCTCGCCCCAAAAGACATAAGACGGCGGAGAAAATAAATTATTTGTTTTTTCCTTTTGCACAGATATTCAATGTGATCCTTCCATGACAGCAGATGGTCAATCATTACACCCAAGTATTTGTATGAAACTCCCTGCTTGTTTTCATCTGTATGGATGACAATGGGGACTTTATGGGAGTCAGATGGTGGGCCAAAAACGATTTCCTCAGTTTTCTTGTTGATCTCAAGAGCATTGCTATCAGCATTGCTATCAGTCCACTCAACCACCTGATTTACAGCCTGTTGGTGCAGGTCAGGGGCGTCTGTGTTACTGAGCAGAGATATTATTGCAGTATCATCAGAGTACTTAATGATGACTTGATGTGGTGTGTTGGTACGACAATCATCAGTGTAGAGAGTAAAGAGCACAGCTGAACTCACGCAGCCCTGGGGGGCACCTACATTGGTTGTGATGGCAGATGACAGGGTTTTGTAACTTTTGTTAATATAGACAACACATAACATGTCCGTGTGGGAACAATACCCCCAACTGTAGTTCCATGTGTGAATTATGGAACCCAGTGTATTAATGAGTGGTCACTACAACTGTCTGTTTAAAATTAATCGAAGCATCAGACTAAAAAAGCTTTTGAAAATAATATTATATTTTGATTTAGGTCAAAATATAATATTTTTAAACCTGAGAGATAAACCCATATTAGACATGGATGTGGTCTCATGCGAGTAATTTAAGGTCGAATTAGGTGATCCCTTATCGACAAGGCGTTTTGACTGAGACAAAATTGTTTCCTCTTTTAGAATCAAAGGATTTTATAGAAATATCTATCTTGTCTCTTATCCTTCTTGTAATGTGATCCCAATTTGTTGTGTCGTGTATTGGCGGTTTTTGTATGACGGTTTGTTCTTATTAAGGTGTTTTGGCGGTTATCGTGGCGTAAATGGCACCCTCGTCTTCATGGAGGTTATCAAGATTGGATTGTTCTTCATACTACAAGAAATCTTCTACCTTGAGGCCCCGGATCGGATGGTCAGCACAATTCTTTTTCGTCCTCATGAAGTTAATCGTAAAGTACTTTACCGTTGACCGGCAACCTGAGTGACACTTGTACTCCAGTTTCTGTATCTCCCGTTGACCAAAAGCGTTGGGAAACTGACTTCTTGTTTCCTAACTCTTTTGGTGGAACCTAACTTTATTACACTCCACTTAAACAGATCATTTAAGTTTGGTGTGTTGGTGACATTTCCAATTTTATTGTAAAGATAAATCAAATGTACTTATTTACCCCGGGAAGGTATGCGGAATGCAGTACGGCGAGATTGGGTACATGCATGTTACAAAACTGAAATTCGCGGTCATACCAGTAGAGAAGACAAATTTGTGCTGATAAATACCCTGTTTTACCTGCGGATAGGTTTGGTGTTAGTCTTCTTATTAGCAGATACGATTCGCGTGCTTACAGCGTGAAGCGACGGCATTAGGGTGTTGCCCGTTACAGAAAACTTTTTGTCTTTATTTTTCAGTTGGTAGTGCTTTCGAAAGTTTCGAGCGAGTCGGAAAAGGACTTTTTCCTGAAAAATTTTGTCGGAGTTGTGACAACAAATTGTGTTTGTTGAGTGAGCGTTATTGGAATCGAAGTTTGAAACCCGGACACAGAAACCCGGAGTCGTCGAGCGGCTGACGAATTACCGGATTTGGTAAGTTGCGCATTTTGCATGTTGTTGCCGTTGTTTTTTCTGTGGATATATTCACTAACCGGAGATCCCGGCTGTACATTATTGTCTCCGGTTCTGCTTATCGTAGGCCCGTCCCAATTTATCTTTTTTCTTTACTTGGACGTGGGGGACGCGACATTGTTCCGTTGCGGTGCTCCATCCTATCGGTTACAAATGCAGTTAAATCCGGAACAAATTGAATTTACATCCGGGTCAGAAAGAGGTCTCTCAGGTGGAATGGTCTGTCTGTGTGTGGCGATAACAAGGTGGATACCATTATGATGAACTTCTAAAAAACTTATTATCGTCCGATGATGAGAAGAATGGGAAAAAAGAGAAAAGACATACGCGGGGCTCAACTAAGACGGTCTAACAAAAGTTCCGAGGAACTTTTGCACGTTCGACGAGAGGGCCACCAGCTCTAGGTTGCAAGGCCCAGCGGGGGGTCGACCAATTTAACAAAATAAGAGCGCAGGGTCCTCTCTTCTGAAGATTTTTACGGGCTCTGATTTACGGTCTCAGAGACTTTTCTAAGGTTTAACCCTATGAAATTAATTTTTCCGCCCGCCATCACAACTGTCTCGTCTTTATAACAAGGCCGTCTTTCGTCGACACTAGCCGACGAGGACTCGTTCTTCTCTTCGGGTAGGGGCAACCACCGGCAATATATAGCGGAGACGACCGAGGAGGGGCGCGTCCGGCCCAGCGTGGTGGGCGTCGCCGAGCGGACGGGCGGATTACAGGCAACAACGTAAATTTGTCTCCTACCATCGATAAAGTGGAAGTTAGTATACCCGCAATTGTGCGGAAAAAGAGGAGTATAAGAGAAGTAGTGAAAAGTACATTGTGTAAGATTTGGCTCGACATTAGTTATGAGGGATTTTGTATCGTCCTTTTATGAAGTGCCGACCAACACGCAAGAAGGGCCTACAACAGTGTTACGATGAGAGCCAGCAGACATTTGTTATTCAATAAGGGTTTATTTGGACTGGAAATTAAATTATAGGTCGGTACGCATCATAGGCTGTAGATATCAACATCACAATTTAGTCATCCAAAGCCAAAACGTGGGTGAGGGCTACAGTAAGAGCGATGAGGTTAAGTGGAGAGAAAATCCTTTAGCATAAATCGGTGTACGATTTACGAGGTTTCGGGACATCTACTTCCTGAAAAGTCTTTATTTTGAATTGACCGAACACTGTTCTTAAAGACTAAAAAGTCATGATTTTCGCTGCAAATTGTGACGTGCCATTAAAATTCTCGATTCGTAATTTATTAGTAGTTTTTAACTAAAAATTAAACGATTGTATGTGGAGGTGTTTTTTTCTAGGTCCAAAGAATTAAAACTCGAAAGCCAAGGTGAGATGATGTAGGAAGGTCACCGCAAAAATATACATGTTTTCACCACCCCGGCGTTGTTGGGTGAATCTCGAGATATGCATATTCGAAGGAAGTTCACTACACGCACTCCAAGTACCGACCCTCCAGTCGACNCGAGGTAGCAATCTGGTTCATCCCTACCCAGCAGGTCGTGCATCGTCTCCCTGTTGGTTGGAAGACCCATGCGGGAATGGCGAGTAACGTGCCCAGCCATTCCGCGGGGCGTGCACCGAGCCTCAGTCCGCGTGCCGGTGGCAGCGACGGACGATTCCAAAAATCCCCGGCATTTCAAGAGAAAAATAGTTTCTTTTGCCGTGTTCGGGTCCGTCCCGGAAACTTCCCGAGACGTTGTCAGGGTCACCAGTGTAGTGCCGAGAGATAGGGAGTCGGAGGCGGTGCAATGAAGGTGCAAAAGGGTACTTCTTACTACTACTTAAAGGGTTGCAGTCCGGGAAGAAGAGAGAGAAGCCAGGAGGGCACACAATATATATAGACAACACATAACATGTCCGTGTGGGAACAATACCCCCAACTGTAGTTCCATGTGTGAATTATGTAACCCAGTGTATTAATGAGTGGTCACTACACGGGAAACATTGTTTTAAGTGTAATCAAAAGGCATTGAGAAGCATTTCAGGTCTATTTCTATTCAACATTCATCTCATTGTCTATTCTGCAGCTAGAGAACCCAGTGATAATAGGCAGACAAAGTGAAGCTTAGGGAATCTGTAACCCTGTGCCTTGAAAAAATATCAAAAGCTTCACAGTGATGTCTGATTGTTGAGCAGTATTCAACCTTGACAAAGAAGCCGCAGATTCCCCCATTGAATTCAGATTGTTGGCCTCTGGTACTTGTACAAATGTCTTATACTAGTTTGGAATATGTGATCCTCTGGTATTCCTACTCTCTTGTTTAAGAATTGCAGCAGGTAGCAGTTAGGTAATATCAGAATACAGTATGTCGGCCAATATAGTACACAAATGTTTAAATACACAATGTTGGCCATTATTAAAACGTAAACATCATTAGAGCGGAGGTTTTGGAGTCATCTTGGGAGCCATATGTGAGAAAATGTAATGTCCATCTGTCCAATAGTTGTTGGGATATTTCAGCACACCAACATTGCCATCCATACATCTTCATATTATAGCATAATTGCAAATCTTGAGGGTTCATTTGCACGTTTACAACAACTTGGTACAAAAGTGGTTATTGTGGCATCCTTCAACAGAACTCCACCAATAAGTATAAAGAGAACTAATACACATCCATTGTGTCTGCTTTTGTTTGTGTATGAGTCCGGTTAGCAGTACAACAGAGGCTTGAGTCTTGATCACCTACTTGCCATCCCCTATATTTCTCTGCTTTGCTGTCACATGGCATCATATCAAATGAATCCATCACTCATTTTGTTGCTAACACCAATACACCAATACAGTTCAGCGATGTCTTGAGCTTCTGATGTCATCAAACAGTCTGCTAGACATTACTTGACACAAGCTTTGACATAAAGTGTCAGGTAAGAATCAGTGTCTTAGTATCAAGGGGCCATCGTCAATTCACTGAAACTCCTTTTTGAACACGTTCAGAGTCACACAACATCTTGCATGGATAGCTCAATGCAATAGTGATGAAACACCAAGAAGTTGCTGCACAGCAGGGTGTAACATTACGTGCCTGGCAGTGCCAGAGGCAGAGAGAGTTGATTGAGAGGCAAAGTGTTACATCAGTTATTACGCACAAAGTACGAGGACATCTGCACATCTGTATGCTGCTGCACAAACAGTCATTTCATAAAGTATGACTCCAATTGCAGTGATCACTGAACATTAAAGGGCAATCAAAGCAGAACAATTATTGCATTAAAAGATTTCATGCAGCAATTCCACAAATGAAAGCACATTTTCTGATATTTTCTCCGATATTGGCATTTCAAACTTATAATTTCTAATCACAGTGTAAATCTCGGCAAACCTTAAGACTTCAACATTTCTTCCTGCAAGTATTTTTCACATTCATTCAACACCAAGCTTTTGTGCCAAAGCATAGATCATCCCAGTTGTCCTCACTAATGGTAGCTACTGATCATTCACTTGTCCCTTCCAGCTAAAAAACTGACACAAATAAAGTGATTATGTCCATATCCAGCATGAGAGAGTCTGTGTGTGTATTCTTCGAGGAACACCTGCAATGTTGCACACACACACAATCCCGTTGCAGCTGATCTGCAGCATATGTTTGAGCCAGTGCTCGAAGACTGTCCAGATGTCTGCTTCACGCTTGTCTTTGTTAGGAGGGGAAAACACAAAGCGGGCCGCACGCATGGACCATTAAGAGATTATT